CCACGCCTCCTGTTTCAACCAGTCACCACGCTTCCTGTCACAACCAGTCCCCCACGCCTCCTGTCTCAACCAGTCCCCCACGCCTCCTGTCTCAACCAGTCCTCCACGCCTCCTGTTTCAACCAGTCATCACGCTTCCTGTCACAACCAGTCACCCACGCCTCCTGTCTCAACCAGTCATCACGCTTCCTGTCACAACCAGTCCCCCACGCCTCCTGTCTCAACCAGTACCCCACGCCTCCTGTCTCAACCAGTCCTCCACGCCTCCTGTCTCAACCAGTCATCACGCTTCCTGTCACAACCAGTCCCCCACGCCTCCTGTCTCAACCAGTCCCCCACGCCTCCTGTCTCAACCAGTCCTCCACGCCTCCTGTTTCAACCAGTCATCACGCTTCCTGTCTCAACCAGTCCCCCACGCCTCCTGTCTCAACCAGTCCCCCACGACTCCTGTCTCAACCAGTCCCCCACGCCTCCTGTCTCAACCAGTCCCCCACGCCTCCTGTCTCAACCAGTCCTCCACGCCTCCTGTTTCAACCAGTCACCACGCTTCCTGTCACAACCAGTCCCCCACGCCTCCTGTCTCAACCAGTCCCCCACGCCTCCTGTCTCAACCAGTCCTCCACGCCTCCTGTTTCAACCAGTCATCACGCTTCCTGTCACAACCAGTCACCCACGCCTCCTGTCTCAACCAGTCATCACGCTTCCTGTCACAACCAGTCCCCCACGCCTCCTGTCTCAACCAGTACCCCACGCCTCCTGTCTCAACCAGTCCTCCACGCCTCCTGTCTCAACCAGTCATCACGCTTCCTGTCACAACCAGTCCCCCACGCCTCCTGTCTCAACCAGTCTCCCACGCCTCCTGTCTCAACCAGTCCTCCACGCCTCCTGTTTCAACCAGTCATCACGCTTCCTGTCTCAACCAGTCCCCCACGCCTCCTGTCTCAACCAGTCCCCCACGCCTCCTGTCTCAACCAGTCCTCCACGCCTCCTGTCTCAACCAGTCATCACGCTTCCTGTCACAACCAGTCCCCCACGCCTCCTGTCTCAACCAGTCATCACGCTTCCTGTCACAACCAGTCCCCCACGCCTCCTGTCTCAACCAGTCCCCCACGCCTCCTGTCTCAACCAGTCCTCCACGCCTCCTGTCTCAACCAGTCCCCACGCCTCCTGTCTCAACCAGTCCTCCACGCCTCCTGTCTCAACCAGTCCCCCACGCCTCCTGTCTCAACCAGTCCTCCACGCCTCCTGTCTCAACCAGTCCCCACGCCTCCTGTCTCAACCAGTCCTCCACGCCTCCTGTCTCAACCAGTCCCCCACGCCTCCTGTCTCAACCAGTCCTCCACGCCTCCTGTCTCAACCAGTCATCACGCTTCCTGTCACAACCAGTCCCCCACGCCTCCTGTCTCAACCAGTCCTCCACGCCTCCTGTCTCAACCAGTCCTCCACGCCTCCTGTCTCAACCAGTCCCCACGCCTCCTGTCTCAACCAGTCCCCCACGCCTCCTGTCTCAACCAGTCCTCCACGCCTCCTGTCTCAACCAGTCCCCCACGCCTCCTGTCTCAACCAGTCCCCCACGACTCCTGTCTCAACCAGTCCCCCACGACTCCTGTCTCAACCAGTCCCCCACGACTCCTGTCTCAACCAGTCCCCCACGCCTCCTGTCTCAACCAGTCCCCCACGACTCCTGTCTCAACCAGTCCCCCACGACTCCTGTCTCAACCAGTCCCCCACGCCTCCTGTCTCAACCAGTCCTCCACGCCTACTGTCTCAACCAGTCCCCCACGCCTCCTGTCTCAACCAGTCCCCCACGCCTCCTGTCTCAACCAGTCCCCCACGACTCCTGTCTCAACCAGTCCCCCACGCCTCCTGTCTCAACCAGTCCCCCACGCCTCCTGTCTCAACCAGTCCCCCACGCCTCCTGTCTCAACCAGTCCCCCACGCCTCCTGTCTCAACCAGTCCCCCACCCCTCCTGTCTCATCCTATGCCTACTGGATGGATTCCTGCTGAGTAGATTCTAGCTGACTCTGTCTTTATTAGCTCTATTAGCTCTATTCCCGATGGCTCTTTCTATGTTGGTTAATCATTGTTATCTCTAGAACTGTGATTGTTTTGTTATGTTTTTATGCACGTGAAAGTTCCGTTCCGAGGACGTGTACTCTGAAGCAACTTCTCGCTGGCTTCAGAGTTCGAAAGTCCTCTTTTATGTTCCAGTTTCTCATATGCTGACGATGTTATTTTTGCTATGTTGATTTGGCTATTGATTTTGGGGGTTATACAGTGTCTGCTTCGTGTTCTCCTTCTCTGGCGCCTTCATTAAAGCCTTTCCGCAATCACTTACGAAACATGTACATCTTTCCTCAATCATTACGGCTTAGTTAACATTGAATAAACATTTTAATATAACCTCGAATTGCGAAGCTTTTCAAGCTCGTAAACTGTTTATTAAATGTAAACAAAAGCAGCCGTAATTAAGATGTACAGGTTTCGCAAATGGTAAATTGCGTACTGAATCATGACTCTCGGTTTAACAACACCAACAGCAATTCAAGCGGAACAACGATTTTTAGTTTGATCGTGCAGGATATCCAGGAATTAGTAACAGTGCTTAAATAAATGAAACTGCCTGTAACAGCAGCAGCGACACGGAACAAGCCCCATTACTTCAAAAGGGGGTAATTAAAGTTTTACGAAACCAGTCGTTTCGTGATCACCGGCAGCTTCAACCGCCAATTTCGCCCTTAATAGCACACACGCCTTTGCCACATCGACTTAGCGTAATGTTAATTGTTTGTACATTACTACAATACATGTTCAACTGAGGAAGTTTTTACTTTCTCGCTCTGTTATTACTCTAATTCATGCAGCTGCCTGAACCACTTAACTGAGGATATATATATATATATATATATATATATATATATATATATATATATATATATATATATATATATATATATATATATATAGATATAGATATAATGTGCACCATGTGGAACAAAATACCTTGATGTTTGTGAGCCACTACGACATATAAGGTCATATTTTTAACATTGGTTACCATAATATACACAATGAGAATTAAGAGAACGGACTGTAAACAGCCAGTGTTGACCTACAGTAGTTGACCCCAGGTCACACTACTGCAGTGTCTGTGTGATGGCTCAGAAATCCAATACCATGAGAAATACCCCCCCCCCCACCTCATCAAATGACCTGAATAGTTATCTAGATATTTGTGATGGTTTGAAAGTATATAAACAGTTCCAGTAATAGTCTGCATATAAACTGGCAAGTGAATATTTTTCTTAAAGAGGGATTAGTCCCAAGTTATAACTTTATTTGATTATAAATTGTTGGTTTAAAATACAATAAGTTTATGCTGGAAACGTTTTCTTTGAAGAATTTGGTTTTCTGTAAATGAAATTCTCGCGTGCGCTCAAATAGTTTTCAATTCCATATTTCACAGTATCGTCAATAATTCACCATATTAACATAAATAAATGTAATGAAGCCTAACCAAACCAAACCAAACCTTAACCTAAAGTACCCTTAACCTAAATAAACCTTAACCTAAACTAACCAAGGATAGAGAGTAGATAATAACACGAATTATGTTCTTTCTTAATCCATTCCCATGAGCGTATATCCTCCCTAAGGAGGAGATAAAACTACATCACCCGGCGCTCTTCGTTTTCTTTCCCATTACGTATACTTTGTGTTCAATGTTATTTCTAATGACAATTTCCCTTTTCTTATGAAGAGTTATGTGATTTTCTATTTTCTAGTCTTTTGTAATGTTTCAAGATTGATTATTTAACTTATTAGCAATTAGTTGATAGGTTAAATACTCTATTTTTTTTTTTTACTGTATGTAAATGAACCTCGGTGATTGTACGATCTGGGATTTATTTACTTATTTACAATTTATATTTATATAAATTTATATAGTTATTTATTTCTTACGTTAATTTATTTCGATAGTGGACTGTATGATATTTAAAGTGGATTGTATGATTTAAATTCCCACAAATTGTTTCCTACACATTCGTGGGGGTTATTATTTATATATATAGTCTATCAATCGAAATTATCAATTGAAAGACATTCACTACAATGCTACTAGGTGTTAAGACTACATGTGTTAGTAAATACATATGGAAGCCTTATCTGATAAGGAGACTTCAGCATTAATGGCGTGGAGTAAGTGGGTAATGAGCCAGTCAGTCAGTCACTGGTCCACAGTCCTGGAGTGATGCCACATTAATAACTTCACTTCTCACTTCACCTGCCCACGAGATTGCACAGTAATATTTGCTGCACGTAAATAATTCTGTTAACAGGTATATTATAATGTTCTGAAGTAAAGAGATGAGAATATTGCCCATCCTGGTGTTGATTATTTACGGCATAACCATAGCAGTAAATTACTCAATGAAATAACAACTCTACAGATCATTTAGTATACTGTACCGGATATGATGGCTTTCCTGGTTCGACGGTGTCGATTTGTGCTGTCTAATTCCTCGACAATAACTCGTTATACACAAGTACTCGGGACGACAACACGACACGTCTATAAACTGTCAAGGGTTAAAATGGCTTCTCTCCTCTCCCACTCCCGCATCAGACGTCTCCTCCCACATGCGTTTTATCAAGTGGAAAGAGGGTTTATATTTAATCTATTTAGTACTGATAATTAATTTGGTTCTAGGGAAATGTTTTCATGATGTTTACAGTCCAGAGACTGATGTTTTAAGAAGAATTCCCAATATTATTAACTGGTGAATTTAATGGCTACATGGCAATGATTCCTCGTTTTCTCCTAAGGAAGTTTCCACTGGAGCCTCGTTTTCTATGAATGATTCAAGCTACTTTCTAGGGTTAATTTGTAAGTATAAACAGCAGCAATATTAACTGGATATTGTATTGAGAGTAAATGATGTCGGTTTTTCCGACAGTTGGTCTACCATCGTCTTATTAAGCGAGCTGTTCCTCGACAGGGTAGTGAACGAAACGTGGCCCCACCGGCCGCAGGTGCTGGAGGTCGAGGTCTACCACTCGAGGACACTTCTACACTCAGCGGTCCACCTTTACGCTGAGAGTGCGAATGGACGCCATCTGGTGGCCGTGGCGCACACTGTCGACAACACCACCATCCCTACACCACAGGACCTCGCCTACACTAACGAGGTGAGTCTTGCCATCCCACGTTCACGTGGACTGGGCCCCAGGGCCCAGATTCAGGAAGCAGTTACGCAAGCACTTACGAACGTGTACATCTTTCCTCAATCTTTGACGGCTTTGGTTACATTTATTAAACAGTTTACAAGCATGAAAACTTCCCAAGCAACTGTTGTTATTGTTATAAACAGCTTCCTGGTGCTTCGGAGCTCATTAACTGTTTAATAATTGTAAACAAAGCCGCCAAAGAATAAGAAAAGATGGACAGGTTCGTAAGTGCTTGCGTAACTGCTTCCTGAATGTGGGCCTAGGATTCATTAAGCATTTACAGAAAAACTTACGAATCCTCTACATCTTTCCTTAATCTTGGTGGCTTTGCTTGCACATATTAAACAGTTTACAAGTTTCGAAACTTTTTAACCCAAAGGGTGTTATTGTTATTAACAACCTCGAAGCGCTTCGCAGCTCAAAAACTCTTTATTAATGTTAATGCTGACGCCGTGATAGAGAAAAGATGTACAAGTTTCGTATCTGGTTCTGTAAATGCTTAATGAATCCTGGTAATGGTCGTTAGAGCGACAAGCCTCGCTTCTTGCTGAATCGGTGTTCGATTCCCGATGGCGCAAGTAGTTGGACAGTGACCGCCTGTTTGTTAGCACCTACGTCTTCACTTGCTTGATGGACTAATTAGAGTTAATTACAATTCCTAATTCATTGTGTCGGGGTACAGGCAGCCAATTTATACATACTTTAGAGGTGTTGTGTTCGTGCTCTGGACCCAAGCAGCATAGTTATGTAGATGCCTTGTGCCCATGCTGAAGGTCGGGACCCAAGCAGCATAGTTATATAGATGCCTTGTGCCCATGTTGAAGGTCGGGACCCAAGCAGCATAGTTATGTAGATGCCTTGTGCCCATGCTGAAGGTCGGGACCCAAGCAGCATAGTTATGTAGATGCCTTGTGCCCATGCTGAAGGTCGGGACCCAAGCAGCATAGTTATGTAGATGCCTTGTGCCCATGCTGAAGGTCGGGACCCAAGCAGCATAGTTATGTAGATGCCTTGTGCCCATGCTGAAGGTCGGGACCCAAGCAGCATAGTTATGTAGATGCCTTGTGCCCATGCTGAAGGTCGGGACCCAAGCAGCATAGTTATGTAGATGTCTTGTGCCCATGCTGAAGGTCGGGACCCAAGCAGCATAGTTATGTAGATGCCTTGTGCCCATGCTGAAGGTCGGGACCCAAGCAGCATAGTTATGTAGATGCCTTGTGCCCATGCTGAAGGTCGGGACCCAAGCAGCATAGTTATGTAGATGCCTTGTGCCCATGCTGAAGGTCGGGACCCAAGCAGCATAGTTATGTAGATGCCTTGTGCCCATGCTGAAGGTCGGGACCCAAGCAGCATAGTTATGTAGATGCCTTGTGCCCATGCTGAAGGTCGGGACCCAAGCAGCATAGTTATGTAGATGCCTTGTGCCCATACTGAAGGTCGGGACCCAAGCAGCATAGTTATGTAGATGCCTTGTGCCCATGCTGAAGGTCGGGACCCAAGCAGCATAGTTATGTAGATGCCTTGTGCATCTACATACTGAAGGTCGGGACCCAAGCATATTAGAATGACATAGAAAGTTGGTTAAAATTCCGTTGTTAGTCACAAGCTAATATATATTTATACATCAAATGTGGTTGTTTTGATTCTGGAAATTGACTCTTACATTACCTTAAGTGACTTCCTCCTTTACTATGTGGTACAATAAACCTCACATCCCAAGCACAGCTAGGCTGGGGACACAGCTTCCCTAAAATAATTTCACCTTGATGACATCAGTAGCCTCAGATTTGAGGGCACATGCTTATCCAATCTCCGGAAAACAAAGGTATGTATAGTGCTGTAAAATGTGATAGGAATAGATAGCTCAAGAACAGAGGAAGTTGGATATAGACAGTAGATCTCCGTGACCTGGGTTGGATATGGTGACAAATTTTAAAGAAGAAAAGTGTGATGTATAGGACTCCCACGATAAATGTAAATGACAATAAAGAAAACGGGAGTGAAAGAAAATGTCAAGAGGGAGGAGTATTCTAATTAACCCTCAAACTGTTCCAATCACTACCAAGGTTTGTTATTGGGAAACAATGAACCAACTCACATCAGGGGAGGACGGCTTGACTATGCCTGCATTTTAAACTCTCAGGGGATTATGGGGGAGGCTCGGGTTGTTCGGGAACTACTTAGTGACCACTTTGCCTTGAACGTTGAATTACCACTGGGGAAAAAACAAGTCCACTTTCAAAGGAAAAGGCTAAATATTAATAAAGATATGAAAAATTATTTTATTCAAAATATGGGAGATTGGTATCAACAATACACGCCGCTCTGCGTTGATAGTTTTTACGAGGATATGGTCGAGAACATAGAGAAATTAGTACAGAGGGAAAATAACGGGGGCAGGGGAAGCAAGACGCATGGACCTAAGAAATTTAAATATTCCAATGATCAGCAAGTCAAGGGGTGGGTGAGAATGCTACGGAGTGCACATAAAGAATGGATAAAAAATGGAATGAGGGATGAAGAGAAAAATACAATGTTGGAAGTGGCTAGGGAATGCAGTCAGGTGAGGAAGGAGGCGCGGGACAGATACTGGCAAGACTTTGCTCAGTCCATTGGTAATACTAAGAACCTTAAAGACATATGGAGAGCAGTAAATAAAGTCAGGGGTTGTAAGACCAAATTCATTGCTCACTCAGATCCAGGGAAGGTTGCTAATGAGTTAGTAGATAAATGAGCTAGTGCTGCTGGTATGGAGTCCTTACCTGCAGACACGAGAATCACCATTGAGTCATGGGAAAATATTAGAAATGGAGTAACTTTATGTGCCTTAAATACAAGATCTATAGCGTGCACTGAGATAACTCACGATGAGCTACTGGATGCTATAAAAAGTGGCAGCTCTACTGCTCCTGGGAAAGATGGAGTAACGTATGACATTCTTAATTATTTAGCCGGTTTGAAACCTAGTCCCTTACTTGATTTGTTTAATATGAGTTATAGAGAGGGAAAGTTACCAAGAAAATGGAAAGAGGCAGTCATCATTCCTATCCCTAAGTCAAACGGTGGCTACAGACCTGTCTCCTTAATATCCTGCTTTTGTAAAATGATGGAAAGGATTTTGTTAAATAGGCTACTCTACCTTGTAGGTGATAACATGTCCAGTAATCTCTTTGGTTTTATCAAAGGCAAAAGTACTGCGGATTGTCTCTTAAAGTGTTTGTCTAATATGGATGACAATTGTAGAGTTTTTGTTGATCTACAAGGAGCGTTTGATAAAGCCAATGGGGAAGTAATCTTATACGAATTAGCCAATCTGGGAATAACAGGGAGATTGTTACACTGGATAAGGGATTATCTACAAGGCAGAAAAGGTCAGGTGTATTATCAGGGATGCATGTCTGAGGAACGGAGGTTTCAGTTAGGTACCCCACAAGCAACCCGTTCTCGCAAATTTAATAAGTCAATATTGACTTATTAACTACGTGCATAGGTGATATACTAAACATAATAGATACCCTTAAAAAGATTCATAGAAAACACTGACCTTACCTAACCTTGTTAGTATCTTAAGATAAGCATCTTATTGCTTCGTAATTACAATTATTACCTAACCTATACCTATTATAGGTTAGGTAATAATTGTAATTACGAAGCAATAAGATGCTTATCTTAAGATACTAACAAGGTTAGGTAAGGTCGGTGTTTTCTATGAATCTTTTAAAGGGTATCTATTATGTTAAGTATGTCACCTATGCACATATTTAATAAGTCAATATTGACTTATTAAATTTGCGAGAACGGGTTGCCACAAGGGGGAGTATTAAGTCCCACCTTATTCAATGTATTAATGAACAGATTAGCATCAGAAATGTATCCTCCAGGGGTCACGACGATCATATATGCTGATGACATTCTTATACAAGGCACTTCCGGGAACAAAATTCAAACTGCTCTTAACATACTTGGTACAACCTGTCACAAGTTAGGCTTAGTTATAAATGCAGATAAAACCAAATATGAGTATAGGAAACGAAGAAATATAACACTTACTCTAAATGGTGTGGAACTGAGCCGTGTTCAGAAGTACAAGTATCTGGGCATGTATGTTGGATACACATGTGAGAGTAAGAATGCTGAAATAAATCATATCAGCACCTTATGTAAAGCCCGTCTGCATCCTCTAAAAGCACTGGCTTTTTCTGGTAAAGGTGTTGGGGTACCTATCTTACGGATGTTATACATAAGCACTGTTCGGTCCCTGATAGACTACGCAGCACCCGTTTTGTCTTACACAGGCCAAGGCAGAATTAAAAAAATAGAGCTGATACAGAACGAGGCTATGAGGATTATTCTTGGATGTCAAAGAAATGCAATGATTGAAATAATGAGAATGGAATTAAATTTACAGAGTGTGTGTGATAGAGTCCGTGACATTAACACTAGAGTAGCTATTCGTTTCATGCGGAGAAAAGGAGGGGATAAGCTGTTTGAGAGCGTTCAGACCTGCTTGAGTGACGTACACACTTCCAGGAAACTGAGGGAGACACGCTACACGAGGGGATTAGCTCATGACCTCAGGGAATACGATGTACTTGACTGCTGTAAACCCTCTCGACAGTGTAATAGGTCTGCTCCCTGGAAAGTACAGAAAATAGACGTCGAAATTGTACCCCTCAATGTGAAAAAGATTCATTATGAACCGGGACAATTACGGTGTATGTATGGAAGCATGATATCCCGGTTACCAAGAGGCAACAGTTTACATGTATATTGCGACGGGTCGGTGGCGGAGGATGGCAGGGCAGGGTGTGGTGTCCTCATAATGGAATATACAGAGTTTGGGACTGTGGACAGGAAAATTGAACTCCGGCTTAGTAATTATATATCATCCACACAAGCTGAACTGCAGGCCATTCTGGCGTGTTTGGAGGAAGTACGTCATGACGGCAAAAATGTTTTTGTATTTGTCGATAGCCGAGGAGCACTGGAGTCCTTAAACAGTCGAAACCCAGTCTTCATGTCTATAGTTGAGGATTGTAAGAGAAGAATAGCTGAGATACAGCTGAAAGGTCATAGTGTGAAATTCATGTGGATTCCATCTCATGTTGGAATAGTGCTCAACGAGGTGGCGGATGACTTGGCCAAACGTGCCACATCAAAACCACAAATTGACATTGAATGTGAATTCACAATGAGACAAATAAGAAGCAAAATCAGAAATATTCAGGCACAGGCAGGAGTGGAGAGAAGAGGGATAATGTATGAGAGAAGTCTAACCATGCAACACTACATGTATGTGAGTCAAAACACCCTTTTCACTTATGGTAAAAGGAGAAATGCTTGGAGTGACTCTGTGTACATGCGGCTCAGGCTTGGGTACAAATATTACTGGGAATATGGGATAGGCGTTCATGATAATGACACGAAGTGTAAACTATGTGGTATGTTAAGGTCTCACACCCTTGCCCATTATGTTCTTGATTGTCCGTTGATTAATGTATATAGAAACACTGAGATAAGGACTGTTCCTGAGCAAATAGCCTGGATGTGTCACAAAGGAAAGGTTGATGATATTCTTGAGAGATATAAGAATTTTGCACCAAGACTGTAATATTTTGTTGAATTATCCGTATAACTAGGTCATAAAAGTATTTGTGTACGTCTGATACCATACCACTTGTGAAGGAGGAAATGTACATGTTTATCTCTCAGAATGTTTGGTAACAGGTTTATTGTTTGTGATGTGTGTCTATGTATGTATTAACACGATGTACTGAACGGGGTGAGAATAGCTTGAGCTACCTCATCCCTTTGTGTGTATTTTACCTCAATAAACTTATTTCAATTTCAATTTCAATTTCAAAGGTTTGTTTTCCGTTTCATTAACTATTGCAAGCCTAGGTGCACTTGGATGTAATACTTTCAAACAGCTGCGCAATGCACGGGTTTATGACTAAAGTGTAGAATTGGACAATGACTTGCTCAAGGTAGAGAGTAAAGACAATGATTCCTACTACATATACACCGTTTGTTGACACAAGTGCGGGGTGACAAAAAAATTTCTCCAAAGCAGCTTAGAAAATTACATAGGTTTGATGCCTAGAGCTTGTAGAATAATTTAAATTGGTTATCTTAATATCAAAATAGCAATGGACCTTGCTTTAATGGGTGGTAATGGTTCCCCAGGAACGACAATAGACTGTAGATTTAATGATACGTCAGTGAAAGAATTATACATTGTTAAAACGTAATTATATATATAAATATTTATAATGTTGGGTAAATAATGAAATTATGCAATAGATAGTAACTGATAATAATAATTGGCAATGTGCTTGTTAAGATCAGTTCATGTGTAACACGAATTGAATATTTTAAAGTTTATCTAAATACATATTATATATGTTTATTCAGGTAAGGTACATACATACAAGTGATGTTACATTAATGGATTGATATATAGATAGAGCTAGTACATACAATGCCTAAAGCCACTATTACGCAATGCGTTTCGGGCAAAATTGGTGATGTGTAAAAAACTAAGTGGGGAAAAAAGTGATCGCTCCTTTTAAGAATAATATCAATTTACGTTTCAGGGAGGCCACAGCTTCAGGAGGATAACCGTAACCTCTCTATGTTTCAGGGAGGCCACAGCTTCAGGAGGATAACCATAATCTCTCTATGTTTCAGGGACGCCACAGCTTCAGGAGGATAACCGTAACCTCTCTATGTTTCAGGGACGCCACAGCTTCAGGAGGATAACCATAACCTCTCTATGTTTCAGGGACGCCACAGCTTCAGGAGGATAACCATAATCTCTCTATGTTTCAGGGACGCCACAGCTTCAGGAGGATAACCGTAATCTCTCTATGTTTCAGGGACGCCACAGCTTCAGGAGGATAACCATAATCTCTCTATGTTTCAGGGACGCCACAGCTTCAGGAGGATAACCATAATCTCTCTATGTTTCAGGGACGCCACAGCTTCAGGAGGATAACCATAATCTCTCTATGTTTCAGGGACGCCACAGCTTCAGGAGGATAACCATAATCTCTCTATGTTTCAGGGACGCCACAGCTTCAGGAGGATAACCATAATCTCTCTATGTTTCAGGGACGCCACAGCTTCAGGAGGATAACCATAACCTCTCTATGTTTCAGGGACACCACAGCTTCAGGAGGATAACCATAACCTCTCTATGTTTCAGGGACGCCACAGCTTCAGGAGGATAACCATAACCTCTCTATGTTTCAGGGACGCCACAGCTTCAGGAGGATAACCATAATCTCTCTATGTTTCAGGGAGGCCACAACTTCAGGACGATATCCCTGAACCCACGTCGAGGAGAGCGTGGGATGGTGATCAAGACCCACGAAGGCGACTGGGGCCTCGTGACGGCTGAGTGGGCTGGTCTCTGTAATGGCGTTCCGGCGGGTGGGACTCTTTTAAACTGTATTTTGACCTGTATCTTGCCCTGTGTAATGGTTGTAACTCTCACAACACCGAATGTTAAAGTCATATTATGTTGGTGTTGGTTTAGTTGTAATGTTTGTTGTGCAACATCATTTGTTGTGCAACATCATTTGTTGTGCAACATCATTTGTTGTGCAACATCATTTGTTGTGCAACATCATTTGTTGTGCAACATCATTTGTTTACCACAAACTTATTTGAGTTGATTTAGATATTTACTAGTTTAGAGATAGCTACATATTGAGCTGCGCACACTTAAGCTAGCAAGTATATAAATTTGTTATTTGCTAGTAAATTAGTTTTTTTTTGTGTGTAAAGTATTCCCTACAGTTCTAATTATTGATGTAATAAGTAAGTTAAGGTAATTTAACGTTGCATATCTCCAAAAATAAAGAATAACATTGTCACGTGTCACCATCAGCTGATGATGACATAGTAGTCCATTCACAGAGTTGTGGTCCATTTTCTCTTTCAGATTTTGCGTGAAGTGTTTGTAGTGTGGCTTTGTTTACGTCCAGTGTTATTCATACCCGCTGCCTCTGTATTGTTTGATAAACTCTAGTATTAACAGCTGACTCTTCTATATATATATATATATATATATATATATATATATATATATATATATATATATATATATATATATATATATATATATATATATGTCCCCATATACACTCACACGAGTCCGCATATACACTCACACGAGTCCGCATATACACTCACACGAGTCCCCATATACACTCACACGAGTCCGCATATACACTCACACGAGTCCCCACTGATCATTCAGCAAGGGGTGGTACATTAACAATGGAACATAGATGGGAACTAAGCACCCAAACAAATAAAGGCATTAGGGAGACATTTTAACGGATCAAAGCAGTGAACAATACACTACGACATGAAGCAGTGGATGCAGACTCCACACACAGCTTTAAATGGGGATATGACCGAGCCCAATGGGCTCTGTAATCTATACGCCAGTCGATTACGAGATGAGAGGCGGGACTCAAGAGTCGTGGCTCATTCACCCGCAAATTTAACTAGGTGAGTAGACATGCATTCATAGATGTGGCAAGCCGCTGGCTTCCTGTCTATCGAGGACATTAGAGAGATGGTGGCCCTCAGGTAAATTCATGTGTTTACATTTAAACTCATTTCTTCACACTCTTGTGTCAGCTGTAGCACTTATCTGTTCCACAAGAGGGAGGGAATTATCGCTATATTACGACTATATAGCACTTGGAAGGGGTCAGGATAAGGATTTGGGGTGGAATGGGGGGAAGGAATGGTGCCCAACCACTTGTGGACTGTTGGGGATTGAACGCCGACCTGCATGAAGCGAGACCGTCGCTCTACCGTCCACCCCAAGGCCTATTCCACAAGTTAACAGTACTTATCCATCGATAACATCACTACTCTATGGATAACACAATTTCTCCGTCACTAAGAACAACGTTCCCCTCACTGTTGAACCATTTAGCAACACTACTAGACCAATAACACCTTGCTACCACAACAGGAACGACCGCGATAACAATCTTCCCTCAACACTATTCGTAACTTTGTATCTCTCCACCATTGGCTACGTCAAACACCTCCACCATTCACATCGCTGTACAACTGTGCACTCTTTCCTCTGTACCACTCCACCATTTGCACCGTTGTGCATTTCCAGTCGCACTCTTGGATCATCATTCCATTCGTACCATTGCACCACAATATCATCCGCTCATTGTATCATTGCTCCGTTCGTCCCGTAGTTCCACTGTTCTGTTCATCCATTTCACAATCACCATTTCACGCTGCTATCGCGCCTCTAATATTATTATTGATCTTTCAGTGACATCGTCTGGATCCCGGAGTCAACTGAACTTAGACACAGCACGAGCGAATGGTGGGGCTTCCTCAACCCGTAATATGAATGGTTCGCAGGCTACTCTAGTGACAGGCGACACCTCTACGGGCGTAGTAGGCGTAGCGGGAGGAGGCGGAGCAGGAGGAGGAGGAGGAGGAGGTAGCCTCGCCAACGAGTCTAGTAGTGGAGTAGAACCTGCATCCCGGCCTGGTGCGTCAGACAAAGTGTACAGTCAAACCTTGTTAAGTCGTCAGAGGTGTCCTGCCTAGAGCAGTCCCCCCTCCGTCGCCAGCGCCCCCGGATTGGGACCTGGACAAGGCGTCCTCGTAGATACAATTGTAATGGAGGCAATATTAATCCCATCACTAATCACTACAACCCTACCATCTGCCAGACCTCCCTGTCACTGTCAGGCTCCTTAACTATTATAACCCACTAATATCAGACCCATTCACCGGCGTATTCCATTATAATCACTCCCCATCACTATCAACCCCATCTATTATTAAACCTCTACCACAAGGCATTGTATTAAACTATTACCAACTATAAAACGATACTTAAACAGTTCATATTATTGATTCACATTCATTGAGAAAGTTTGTATTAACATATTAAATAAAAATGTATTAATTCTAATTAGATTAAAAACTTGAGGATTAAATAAGGAATCTTGTAAAATAATAAATACTGCAATTTTATTCAAGAAAGTTCTATGATATATTCTAGCATTAGAACATAATTACTGAATTTATTAACTGGTAATTCTAAAATAAAAATATGGATCATTCTATCTTGTGATGAAACTTCCTCAGTATAGCATTTATCCTGAACGATATATCGCAATAAAAACATATTAGACATAATTAACGCTCGCATTTAAATTATTACCGTAAGTAACGTTATATAAAATTATATTAATATAAAAATAATCAATAACTTTTTCCACAATTAAACTTTCAGTGGACAATTTTTATATTTATTTTTTCTTTTTTGCCACTTGGGGCTAAACTTTTCATTAACTATTTTATGTCTTTTTCCTTAACTCGGTTAGATAAGCACTATATAGGCCTACACAACCTAGATAATTAATTTTACTGACCATTATCACCCAATTACGCCCATGTCTTAGCGCTTTAAGTAAATTTTAATAACCATAACCCGTCTTCTCGAGCGTTCCCAACGTCACTAAACTGATGTACTAAATTCCCCCGAACCTAACCTAACTAGGGAATCCACGCATAGAAAACGGGATCACGTCAATTTTGCGAGCAGCTATGATTTTTAGTACAGCAGTTTTTTTATACGTCAAAATGATATTCGAGAGGACGGGTTGATTATATATATATATATATATATATATATATATATATATATATATATATATATATATATATATATATATATATATATATATATATATATATATATATATATATATATATATATATATATATATATATATATATATATATATATATATATATATATATATATATATATATATATATATTATATTTATATTATATATATATATATATTATATATTATATATAATATATATATATATATATTATATATATTTTTTATATATATATATATACTCCACTCATATTAGCTCATATTAACTATCTTCTTTTGTTCTCCAGTAGGCCTATATCCGGCCTACATCCAGAATTAATCGAGTCCGTATTGAACTTACAGACAACATTAAGGAGAAAAAAATGCATGAAGAAGATAGCATTTTCCTCCATATTCAAAAAAAATTAATTGAAATTTGGTTGCCACAGAAACCATGGAATAACCAGGCAGTATTAAGAAGTCCCTGCCACAAAATTTCAATTATCAGGTTTAACAGAGTCACCCCAATTGGATGTAAGTGAGAGAGCGGTGAGGGGGCAACTTAGCCATACTGCGCAGCGCTCGCTCTCCTCTGACCAGAGTTAGCAAGGTTTGACACCAGCCCAGCCATGTCCCACCTCGGGAGGTCCCATCTCAGCCATGTCCCACCTTGGGAGGTCCCGTCCCAGTCATATCCAACCTCGGAAGGTCCCATCCCAGCCACGTCCTACGTATGAGGTCCTATCCTTAATTAACATATCCCACCACAGGAAATCTCATCCCACTCATGTCCCATGTCCCATCCCAGCCATCTCCTATACTGAGAGGTCCCATCCCAGCCACGTCCCAACTCGGGAGGTACCAGTACCACATCACCTTCAATAACTTCCGCAAACGTCAAAATGTGATAATACAGAGTACTATTTCAAGGAGATAATTTGGTTAGTTTATAAAAGCTTTGATCATATTATTATGTAGAAGACACTAAATTTCGCAATGTCTATTCATGCATGCCTAAATCCATACATGAATGCTTAAAATGCATGTGTAAATCTTGCATACATGTATATATATCACTTTTATGATAATAATTTGTGATATTTAAGCATCAATGTATATATTTGTTTATGAGCATATAACGAATTAAGAAGGTTATACTCATTTCGTATATGATGACTATATTCATAAAACGATATGCACTACTTCTCGGTGCATATACTATATAGTCAGATGACCTTTAGTCTTGAATTGAACTTTTAGGAGGAAGGTATACCAACTGTGTGGTCAGTAAACTGTTTGCTGGTTTCCATATAACCCTCCCGAGTTTGAGAGACCTTAAGTCCGAACACAAGTCCCTTAAGTCCCCCCCCCCCAAAAAAAAAATCTTTATGTAACCCCCTGGGACCATCTGCAGGTGGAGACATCTTTATGAGATATTGACGAGTTTGAGTAGATTCTTGTGAAGAATACTTGTGGCAGGACCAAACTAAGTGACAACAGCGTTAGTGTCTAGTTCTCCAGCCTCTACTTCCCCCACCCCTTTACTAACACCAAAGACTGGACGGTAACGGGTCATGTGTCTTAGTTGGCTCTCTGTTTTGGTAACATCTTAGAGCAGTCTCAGTAATATGCTAGCATGAATGTTGACTGTGCTTGAGCTGTTGATAGACAGGGTCAAATGTTTAACATGTAGTCACAGAGGCTCACTGATGTCCACGTATTGAACTCATGTTAGCACGTCAGTTATGTTCAAATGTGCTGACAGATCAAATAAAAAAAATATTCATGGATTGATTGATAACAATTAAGTCACCCAGGTGGTGGCAAGGGCATGAATAGCCCCTAATTTAAGTAATTAAATTGGTTAACATGATTTCTATATACGCTGACTGATGTTTCCAACATTTCCTGCTGTTTACATGCTATATTAAATGTCTTCATATGCTGTCAAAAGCCTTCAGACCATCAAGTAGCACAAGTAATTGTTTACAAATTAATAACAAAACCAATATATATGAAATGAAAGTGATGACGTTCCGGTTCCTCCGAGACCTTCATTAGATCATCAAATTTACGTTGATTTATTTCTTTACGTTAAAAAAGTTTTTGATCGTGTCTGTAGATACGGACAAATCTTCCTGTTTTATGAAAGATGTCTACAAGGAACTCTGTGGCTGTTGACAGATATTAAGATGTATCCAGAGATGTTGATTAGGATGTTTAGAAGAGCTTGGCTTTCCTACCTAATAGGCTAGAGTAGCAAACCACTTGTTAATTGGTATGTGTCACGCTGTGCGGTGGCCGGTTGTTCACTCTAGCAGACTAGCTCTTAAGAAGTAGCCTACGATATCCTCAGGTTATGTAGTCTACGATAGCCTCAAGTCATGTAGCCTACGATAACCTCAGGTCATGTAGTCTACGATAGCCTCAGGTCATGTAGCCTACGATAGCCTCAGGTCAAGTATTGTACGATAGCCTCAGGTCATGTAGCCTACGATAGCCTCAGGTCAAGTAGCCTACGATAGCCTCAGTTCATGTATCCTACTATAGCCTCAGGTTATGTACTCTACGATAGCCTCAGGTCATGTAGCCTACGATAGCCTTAGGGTCATGTAATCTACGATAGCCTCAGGTCATGTAGTCTACGATAGCCTCAGGTCATGTAGCCTACGATAGTCTCAGGTCATGTAGCCTACGATAGCCTCAGGTCAAGTAGCCTACGATAGCCTCAGGTCATGTAGCCTTCGATAGCCTCAGGTCATGTAGTCTACGATAGCCTCAGGTTATGTAGCCTACGATAGCCTCAGGTCATGTAGCCTACGATAGCCTCAGGTCATGTAGTCTACGATAGCCTCAGGTCATGTAGTCTACGATAGCCTCAGGTCATGTAGTCTACGATAACCTCAGATCATGTAGCCTACGATAACCTCAGGTCAAGTAGCCTACGATAGCATCAGGTCATGCAGCCTACGATAGCCTCAGGTCAAGTAGCCTACGATAGCCTCAGGTAAAGTAGCCTACGATAGCCTCAGGTCATGTAGCCTACGATAGCCTCAGGTCATGTAGCCTACGATAGCCTCAGGTCAAGTAGCCTACGATAGCCTCAGGTTATGTAGCCTACGATAGCCTCAGGTCATGTAGCGTACGATAGCCTCAGGTTTTGTAGTCTACGATAGCCTCAGGTCATGTAGTCTACGATAGCCTCAGGTTATGTAGTCTACGATAGACTCAGGGTCATGTAGCCTACGATACCCTCAAGTCATGTAGCCTACGATAGTCTCAGGTCATGTACTCTACGATAGCCGCAGGTCATGTAGCCTACAATACCGTAAGTACAGTTTAAGGAAAAAAAGTAAAATACTGTTAATAATATTAGTTCTTAAATCATTTAAAAAATTCTAATAAATATTCTCCACTCAATTTAAAAATGTAATTTTTACATCAAAATTACCTAAAATAAGCATAACCAATTTAATTTTTTTAAAGTTATAATTATTACACACAATAATTATTTTTATTCGTCGTAAAGTGGATTTGCTTCTTCGTATGGAGATTTTTAGTGGAAATTTTAAATTTGCAAAACCTTTCATATTTTCCAAAATATTTTAGTTGAGTAAAATATGTTTTGTTTTTCCATTTCATTTAGCCTTTGTTTATTCAACTTGTTTAATAACCCAATATTATTCTACATTAATTCATTGTGAACGTTAAAACTGTCTAGTAAACAAAATTTATATATTCTTCGTAAATCTTAAATTAAATTAATTCCTCTTGCAGTATAAAACTACAACCGCCCATTGGTTTGAACAATGAATTCTTCTATCTATTAAATCCTCTTTAATCACCAATTAGGGTCAAATTCTTCGCTGAAAACAACCAGCCAATCACAGCCCAGTAAATAGTAGTGACCACAACAAAATTGAGAATTAGACCCTATGGAAGAGCTGAAGGAAAAAGACAAAATTAATTTCAAAATAACCCAGTTTGATCTGGAAGTCTAAAAGTCGATTTAAAACACCAATTGCGAAATGAAATCAAACGCTAATCTCTTCATAACATAACTATTTAAAGTAAAGCTAACTTGGTATAAAACAAACCTTGTTGCCCGTATGGTTGAAGGTAACTTTGTGTGACGTAACTCGCAGAGGGCCGCGGACGACCTGGGTCACCGGGCCACCTCCTCCTGCACATCCACCAGTTGAGACAGTTCCAGTACCGCTCTGTGATACTTCCCTACGAGCGCCGAGAGTACACCTTCTGCTTGGGCGGCGTCACTATCGACATGGAGCGCGGTGTGCTGGAGGTGAGACCTGCTAGGGGCCAGATTCACGAAGCAGTTACGCAAGTACTTACGAACGTGTACATCTTTCCTCAATCTTGGACGGCTTTGGTTACATTTATTAAACAGTTTACAAGCATGAAAACTTGCCAATCAACTGTTGTTATTGTTATAAACAGCCTCCTGGTGCTTCGGAACTCATTAACTGTTTAATAATTGTAAACAAAGCCGTCAAAGATTGAGAAAAGATGGACAGGTTCGTAAGTGCTTGCGTAACTGCTTCGTGAATCTGGCCCTGTTTGTTTTCTTATTGGGCCTTGTGGTGGTAGTGGTGTTTGAGGCGACGCGTGTTATACATTCTTATTGCTGCAGGTGGTGCTAGAGGCGACGCCTAACATATTCTTACTGGTTTAATATGTTGCAGGTGGGTATGGGCAACCCTTCGCTGGTTGAGAACATCTCTCTGGCACTGAGCGCCGCTGTGCTTCACGTTCTCTGCCAACCCCGCCCCGACCGCCCTGTCATAGGCCAGACCAATCGTATCCCCGTTGAGAAACTGAGCCTTCTGCACGCCTTAGGTTACTACGCTGACTCGGCGCCTCACAACTCCTTCCTCAGGTCCTGCACGGGAGATGGTTGTGGCGGGTGTGGCGCCTGCGGCGGATGTGGAGGCTGTGGGGGGTGTGGGGGATGTGGGGGCTGTGGGGGATGTGGGGGATGCGGTGGGTGTGGGGGATAAAGAATTCGACATTTAGGGTTATAATGGAATGCTTTCTGTTTTCGTTGAAATATATATTTTCCCTGTTTCTCCCCGCATTTGAGGGTATCTTGTGCGGTGAAGATAACTGCCAGACATCTGTGAAGCAAGGATAGCAAGAGGCAAGGCTGACGGACCTCGCGTCATACACTAATCTTTCCTCGGAACATACACTGAATAAACAGCATACAAAACCCTGTCACCGGGCTTAATCACTAGTCAAATATATTTACATTCAAAACGAAGAGAAGTCGCGAGACAAACATGAAGTCATTGACGTTGACTGTTATCAAATCAAGAGAATATGAAGTCATGCTGTCCCCCAGTATACATATATAATAATATAGGGATTATCAACGATCAGTGCTCGAACAATATGCCTGCGGGTCTTGAGGCTTCAGTGCCCTCAAGAGTAATACTTCCGAGGTCACAGTCATATAGGCATCGTGCATTGATGCCTCATCGGTATTCAAATAAACCACAGGGTGATTACTCACTGAGAACTCTCTTCAATAGGCAAGGGAATTCTTATGTCATAAACTCTCTCTCCTGTCCAGTAAAGAGAATATTTTGAATGCTGAACATGTTTGTACTGCTACCATACTAGTTGCTCATTCTAGGTGATCTTAGAACACACTCGTACTGTTCTCTGTATATATATATTTAATGGTAATTTATACATATAAGGAAGAAATGGCGTTAATCAAGAATTTGGAAAATGGAACACATCCTTAACGTTTTTACTTTATGGTGCAATAAAATCAACAATGTCCATTTAATTTCAGGAACCATATTTCTTTTCTCGAGTCTTGGTATTTTTTTATTTGTATCGACATATTAACCAAAAGTTCTCAATGGCCTATTATGGAATCAAATTTTAAACTCGTTATTTGTACAAATTTTGTGTCATTGTTGATAATATAACTATATTATGTGTAAGCCTAATGAGGGCCTAATTCTGTCTGGATTTAGTCCAAAACGCACAGAAACAAGAATACCAGTAGAAGTTATATTAAGACCTTTGGCTGACCTTATTGGTTTGAATAATGTTCTGCGTTGTGGTGACCTTGGGAACAAGGCCAATACATTCAAGGTTTCGGGAGCCTCAATTATATACGGCTAATTTAATTGGCCATTGTTATTTTTCTTTACAATATTATTATTATTATTGCTATTATTATTATTATTATTATTATTATTATTATTATTATTATTATTATTATTATTATTATTATTATTATTTATTGTAATAAATTAATGTCATAATAAATAGGAGCAAAAGGGACATGACAAATATCTTGTTACAATTTTTATTTTGTTTGAATTCAAATTCGTGACGTTTCGAAAACCTCTCCTATTCATCATCAGATGTAAAAATACAAATATTATATTAAAAATTAACCAGCAATCCAAAGAACTTATACTGAACAGGTTTGTAAACTGTAAGATAAGTGATATAAAGTGACACTAATTACAATAAAGAACAAGACCCAGAGTAAAATTAGAACAAGACTTACGTAAACTGATCAAAGTAAACTATGAGAATCATCATCATTGATACCAAAAGCTAATTCGAAATTACAATTATAACCACAAAGATTCAAAACACTTATACAATGCGTTTCTTGGACACATGCACGAATGGCCGGTCGGATTTGAGACTAATGGACTCGTTATATATCTGAAGCAGGCAGAATTACAGCTAAATAACAATGGTTCAGCTGTTATATATATATATATATATATATATATATAAAATACATTGTATACAGAAAACTACTCATAGGTACCTTATGGAGGACTCTTGTTGGCGTATGGAAGACAGTGAGGAAGGGTGGAGAAGGAGAGGTGTTAGTGTTTGGAAGGGGAGACCCCTTCCATTATAACATCAGGCAGTGATGACATTTCTGGGGTACTGTGTCTCTTATGTTTTGCAGGCATACCACTAGGACCTGGTTGTGGCTCACTGGTTGCGTGTCTTACTAAGAATCTGTCTATAGACACTTATTTTTCCCTACGTTTTAACACTTATGTGTAGCGGGACATCACAAATATTGTCTTAGGTTGAACTTTACCACTGACTTTCTTGGGACCCATGGCGTGATATATAATGATTACTTTTATGTTCAGAAACTAAAAAAGGCCCAAAAACAATGAAATTCTTCACAAAGAATTCAACCGCAGTCGTCACCTCGGCATGACGCTGGTAAACTGAGGCGCGCTGGACCCGTACGTGAATAAACAAACTCCAAACACCGAGGCACACAGCGAGTACCGAATCGAATATTTCGAAGAAACTGAGCTCGAGTACCGAAAAAATCGAAAACAGGGGCATACGAAAACCGAGGTGCGTTTCCCCTGAGTTTCCCTCTGAAACTTTATGTGAATCTGTTTATCAAATTCTTTGATCCTCCCAAGATCAAAGAAATTGATCTTTATATTTTTAGATCTGATTTTGAATACGAGAGGTTTTCGAAATGTCCTGAATATTAATTAAAACAAATTTTGTAAAAAGATGTTTGCCATATGACTTGTGCTCCAATTTATAATGAAATCAAGATTTCCGAATGGAACATTCATTTTTAATATTTTAAATGTTTTATGAGACTAATTTAATTTTGCTATCCCTGTTTATTTCACCAATTGTTATAACGTCAGCGGATTTTATATATTTGCTTTAATGACCATTGGTGTCCACACTTTTTCAAGCGACAAAGCGCTATAACCCCAGTGTCATTGGCTCAGTAACTCATTTTGCTCAAATACATATACCTTTTTTTTACATATGAACACATTTCTCTAAAAATCAAAATTAATATGCATATCTAAAATGGTCATAGTGAATTGTGTTCTTGTTTCTTGGGGGTAAAGATGCATCCAGTGCATCAGTAGATTTGTGCATTGGTGATAGGTTGAATGATCGCTTGAACAGAACGCAATATACAAAAGATGTATTTTTTCCAAGAAGAGCTCATATACTGTTTTATCTTAATTATGGTTGGATTATGTTCTCTCAAGGATCCTTTCTCCCTTTCCTAACTATCCAACTCACCTTCCTGTAAAGATAGTACTGTTTGTAACTATGTAGACCATCGTACATATAGTGACGCATTGGACAATTAGTAGAATTTAGGCCTATTCACTTTATAGTCCGGAACACATAAAGCTAATAACCAAACAAATACTCCTAGGCCTAGTATATCACAAATATGTACCATATTAGGCCTAGGATCGGTAGGTTAGATTTTATTAACATAAGAAAACAATTTCCAGTTTGTTCAAATTCGTTAGTACCAAATTCTAATTGTCCATTACGTCAATATGTGTACTATGTTCCACATCGTTACTACAAGTACCATCTAAACAGGAGGATAGGCTGAACTATCATGACAGTGCATAATCGTTCTTTGTAGTCCTTTGCAACGTTGTATAATCCACCCACATAATGATTTTAGTGTGACCAATTGTTTCACACTCACTAAATGCTTTTATCAACAGTATCTATTACGTTATCGAATGAATAGCAGCAAGTAACACTAGCTTCTAATGGTTCCAAAACACTTCATATATTTTTTTTGTAATAAGGATGTGTAACAGAATTTTTTTCTTGCAAACAAAAAGCTACAAAAAAAGAGTTGACTTAGGACCAATGTTTACAAGCTTGAGATCAGCATTGTACCGTACACAAGGTACACATTGTACCGTACAAGTGTGTGTGTGTGTGGCGTGGTTGGACACGACCACATGGCGTGATTGTGTTACGAAACACAGTAGCTTACTCGGTCTATACTTGCAGTTGGTTACAATTAAATAGAGTACCTGGCAAATAGGATGAGGCTTTACGTGTCCTATCCAACTGCGTTTGTAGTCAAGAGGTCAAAATGTAGTTTCTTAGAGTATTTGTTCAGTGTCAGTTGTGTGTTCAGTATGATGGGTATTTATTAGGTCTATTTGGGAATAAAAAACACAGGCCTGCGTTTTGAGATTTATTTTCTGTTGTCAGAGTTTTTTGCACTAAATCTAAATGTTATGCTGAATTAAAAAATAACAATGTTTTTTCTCAATCAAATTAGGTTTCTCAACTACGCCTGCATTGGAAAAACTTTTTTTTTGTTGCAAATCTCAGGTTTTTGAATTATAAAGTTATAAAAAAATGTAATAATGACTAAACATTGGAAATTTGTTATTATTAACATAGAAAATTGACAAGAATATACATCAATGTGGAAGAAAAGACTTCTTCAATGATTTCCACTTGTATTTAGAACCGGGCAAGTTTCGTTTTAAAAACACTCAACAGTAATATGCAATATATTACAGACCTATCTTGTCCCTTATACCTTTCTTCCATAGTATGGATATTATGATGGAACCTATCCAATTGTTCCTCACTGTAGTCACCACAGTTCTCAGGGAAATAATAGAGCTGCGATTTGAGGAAATGCAGTTTTGCTGACATAGGAGTCAAACTGTTCATCAGTTTTTCAACAATGAAGAATAAGTTCTTCATCAAGTATTCAGAATTTCGTGGGTTTCCAAGAAAGTTATTCACTACTGATTTGCAGGATTGCCATGCATTCCTCTGTCTCACTCATTACCATTTCCAGTTGTTCACCCTTCAATCCCCTACCACTTGGGATGGACGGTAGAGCGACAGTCTTGCTTCATGCAGGTCGGTGTTTAATCCCCGACCGTCCAAGTGGTTGGGTACCATTCCTTACCCCCCCCCCCCTCCCCCCGTCCCATCCCAAATCCTCATCCTGACCCATTCTTTAATGACTTAGCCCTTTCCCTTGATAATTCCATTTTCTTCACTCCTCATTAGGTTTCTAATCGTGGGGCAATTTAAAAAAATATACATATATACAATTTAGCATCACTTTTATGGGAAACGTTCTGTGTTATGAAAACAAATGTTAAACTTTATTATTGGCCCTTGACCAAATGTTTCATCAAACCATTGTGATATATATATATATATATATATATATATATATATATATATATATATATATATATATATATATATATATATATATATATATATATATATATATATATATATATATATAGAACCCCTTCAACCCCCCAGGTTGAAGGAGTTCTCGAGATTCTGTTTTAATAATGTATGTCATCAACTATACAAACAAACAAAGAAACACGGGTATATGGTTTGACCTCCTCGCATTCCTAATATTATGGACACTAAACACAAAAAATTAGGCTTTTTATACGAGAAAAGGAGATAGTTAGTAAACTTGAGCTGATCACATGAAACTAATTTCAGAATTGAATTCAGCACGTTGGAAATATATAGAATCAGTCTAATAAAAAATCCTTGACAGCAAAAAAGACGCAGGCCTGTGAAATAGTTAATAGGTTATGCTTTTATAAAAGCAAACTTTGTAGAATCTATGTCATAAATGCACACATCTCATTGCAAGACGATGATATAGTACAGAGTGTTGCTGCTGCTGCTTTATGTGAAGGTGAGGGCCCAGGGCTGCTGCTTTATGTGAAGGTGAGGGCCCAGGGCTGCTGCTTTATGTGAAGGTGAGGGCCCAGGGCTGCTGCTTTATGTGAAGGTGAGGGCCCAGGGCTGCTGCTTTATGTGAAGGTGAGGGCCCAGGGCTGCTGCTTTATGTGAAGGTGAGGGCCCAGGGCTGCTGCTTTATGTGAAGGTGAGGGCCCAGGGCTGCTGCTTTATATGAAGATGAGGGCCCAGGGCTGCTGCTTTATATGAAGATGAGGGCCCAGGGCTGCTGCTTTATGTGAAGGTGAGGGCCCAGGGCTGCTGCTTTATGTGAAGGTGAGGGCCCAGGGCTGCTGCTTTATGTGAAGGTGAGGGCCCAGGGCTGCTGCTTTATATGAAGATGAGGGCCCAGGGCTGCTGCTTTATATGAAGATGAGGGCCCAGGGCTGCTGCTTTATGTGAAGGTGAGGGCCTAGGGCTGCTGCTTTATGTGAAGGTGAGGGCCCAGGGCTGCTGCTTTATGTGAAGGTGAGGGCCCAGGGCTGCTGCTTTATGTGAAGATGAGGGCCTAGGGCTGCTGCTTTATGTGAAGATGAGGACCTAGGGCTGCTGCTTTATGTGAAGGTGAGGGCCCAGGGCTGCTGCTTTATGTGAAGGTGAGGGCCTAGGGCTGCTGCTTTATGTGAAGGTGAGGGCCTAGGGCTGCTGCTTTATGTGAAGGTGAGGGCCCAGGGCTGCTGCTTTATGTGAAGGTGAGGGCCCAGGGCTGCTGCTTTATGTGAAGGTGAGGGCCCAGGGCTGCTGCTTTATGTGAAAATGAGGGCCTAGGGCTGCTACTTTATGTGAAGATCAGGGCCCCAGGGCTGCTGCTTTATGTGAAGGTGAGGGCCTCAGGGCTGCTGCTTTATGTAAAGATGAGGTCCCCAGGGCTGCTGCTTTATGTGAAGGTGAGGGCCTCAGGGCTGCTGCTTTATGTGAAGGTGAGGGCCTCAGGGCTGCTGCTTTATGTGAAGGTGAGGGCCCAGCGCTACTGCTTTATGTGAAGATGAGGGCCCCAATGAGCAAGTATTCTTACCCAGCCTCGTAAGAAGCTTGGCCGAGTTTCACTTCCAGGAAGTAAATTATGAGTGCTTTCCCTCCTCGCAAGTGTTTGGTAATCACCACTTGAGTGGCAAATGGAACACTTATGTCGGCTTTCAGGTGGTCATTAGCAACATTCACCTCAGTCGTTAGCGCTGGTTAGCGCTGACTCCGAGGGTAGTTATCCCTTTGGTCACTGGCTGAACCTTAATAGTGGTTCCCTCCTCTCTTACTGGAAGAACCTTAGAGATAATTCAGAAGCCATCTCCACTCCTAGACTCTGGCGACCACAAGGAAGCAAGCCACAATGCAGTGCATATTGTTGATGCACGTTAGGAGATG